CTTCTACTTAATTATATTGGTAGGCTGGGTGCTATTAGAGGTAAGAGTGAAGGACTTTTCCGAAAACTCGGTTTCGCTGCCTTTCTCGTTATGCCTCATAAGTCTCTCAGAGGTTCTTTAAAAATTTGCCAAAGCTTGAAAAAAAAAACTCAATTCATTCCCGAAATCGTATTTAGTAATTAAACACTATGCATTTTCAGGCACCAACCATATCATTCTGTATGGTAAAAGGTCGCTGGTTGCGAAGCTCCTTGAGAATTTGATCCATTGACTCACACGCGATGCCTTGCTGTAGCTTTTCCAGGATGAACTCGATTGCTACAATGGCACCTGTCCTGCCGATACCTGCTGAGCAGTGCACTATTATCGGCTTCTTTGTTCCGCGGATATTCGAAAGAAGCACCTGCACATAGTGTACTATTAACAAATCAACTTCTTTTAAGTAGGCACCCCGGTCAGTGTGTTGCAAACGGAGCCCTCTTTTTCAGGGTGTAGAAGAATGGGCAAGGACTTTTTCGCGAATGTAGTCTTCTGCGGGGCATCTATGGATCAGGAGTGTTTGCATATTTTTGCGGCGGGATTGTCGTGAACCTAAGCAAGAAAACCAGCAAGAGTCGTAATACTGCAAAAATTTATGTTTTAAATTTGGCAGTCGCACAACAGAAAAGCCCAACTGCTTGTTGGTGAAGAGAGTCGGTAGCGTATTACTTAATATGTCACGATTCGAAGGATCCAGAAAGAGTGAAAATGAAACGTTCGGTTCGTTTCCAATTTAAACCTTTGGAGGGGAATTTTGCGTTCGAATTGGTCAGTGAAAGAAACGGCGAGACGAGTGTGAGTGACTGAACTAAAACCTGTCTTGAGGAAAATTTGGTTCTGTAACTGCTCTTCCAAATTTCTTTGATTCACTTTGATTTCTCAGGAAGTTGCATAATAAGCAACTGCCGGAAATAAGACTGCAAAACCGCCTAGATTTGTAAAAACTTGCGCTGTCGCTACCATGGAAGTAAGTCTGCAAGGTGGCACGCCGCGATCTGGCCAGTCTATCCACTGGTAGTGTCGAATCTCGCGATTCCTCTCTTTACCGCCATCTTTCCATTTTACTTTCAGTAGGCACACTCGGACAGATGTCTCATCCGGCGCTAGTGCTCGCACCTGAAGCGAAATCGTGGGACGACGTAAAGAACACAGACGAGTTGGAAGAAGAGAAAAGAATTAAATTCGAAAAACGGTTTCAATTTACAAAAAAAGAGGAAGAGAGATGAAATTAATATTTCGGATAGTTAATGGGAGTGAAATGGAAAAAATGTTTAAAAAAATTGGAATAAATGGTTGTTTTATTGGCTGTTAATGCAAATTGAAATAGTTGTTTTAGTTTATAAATATTCTGCTCAATCGTGCATCTACACGACAAGACGAAGCAAGAAAAAGTGAGTACCGCGGTGTTGTTAATGGTAACATCGCCAAAAGTCAGTGTCTGGCCTGCATCATTTGGCCAGTACTGCTCGCATTTATTCAGGCCTTTCTCAATGATATTCGTCAGCATAACGATTGAGTCACTTTCTTCCTGTATAACCATGTGCCAGAAATCCGTAACACTGTTTGGCATTGGCCCCTAAAATAGACCTCTTCTTGTTGCTTTTAGCTGCAATGGCATCTCCCACGAAAACAGCGATATAGAAATTAGCTGCAGCGTATCTAACCTGTAACCCACAGCTTAAAAGTGACTAGCTAGGAAAACTACTTTAGAAAAAGTATGGACCAATTCGAAAACCGTGGTTTTAAAGGTCATCATTAGTTTCCAGATTTCAATGA